CACACTATATACTATATACTAAAAACATACTAAAGACTTTATACAATATACTACATACTGTATACAAAACACTATATTATATATAAACAACAAAATACAAAAAAAATATATTATACGATATATATACATATACATATATATGGTTCAGCGTCGAGCGTCCTGGGCCCCCCCCCCCCCCATGGAATCCCCCCCCCCCCCCCAAGTCTACTCTACGGTCCCTGAACCCTAAACCCTGAACCTAAACCCTAAACCCTGAACCCTAAACCACTAAACCCTAAACCCTAAACCCTAAACCCCAAAACCTAAACTCTAACCCTAAACCCTGAACCTTAAGTCTTAAACCTTAAACCCCAAACCCTAAACCCTGAACCCTAAACTCTAACCCAAAAACCAACCCCCCAACCACACCACAGGGGGGGGAGATCATCTTAGTACCCCATCCGCGGGGAAAACCCTAAACCCAAAACCCTAAACCCCAAAACCCCAAAACCCCAAACCGTTAACCCTAAACCCTAAACCCTAAAACCCTAAAACCCTAAAACCCTAAACCCCAAACAAAACCCTAAACCCTAACCCTAAAACCCTAAAACCAACCCCCAACCACACTACAGGGGGGGGGGGGGGGTACCATTGGGGGGGGGCAGGGGAAGGGGTGGGGGCCCGCCGGGGCTGAATCATATGTGTATATTGTATAAGTTTTTTCAACAAAATTGATGGGGCAAGTGTTTTTTGAATGGGTGCTTTGTCAGTACAAGGAAGTAGAACAGTCACCGTAAGGCAACACGAAACCAAACAACGACAAGACAAAGTCCGTTCTGCTGGCAAATTGTAAAACAAGCCCTCTCAGTTCAATGAAGATGTTCGAACGTGCGGACACGCCAGCTGAACCAACGCATGTGATCAGATGAAACATTTTTTTCCACAGTAGTGAGCGCGCGACTTGGAAACAGCAGTGCCAGGTCCAGGCGGTGGAATGCGCTCGAGCTGACCTGACTGATGCCTGTGCAACCCTGCGAGGCGGTAGTCCGTCAACCGCTGGCCTGTTCTTCTTCTGGATGTGACACTGTTGCAGAACTTCCAGGAATTGGAGTCCATTCTTGTCTTCCACCTTGTTTCCAGATCGAGAGCAAGGTTCGGGGGGGGGGGTTCGAATTTTTTTTTTCCGAGTTGAGCGAACAAATGCGATCCACCTTCTTGGTGTTTGGGTTGTGAAAACCGTGCCTCTGTACTGGCACATCTGATGGCCCTCTTGGCCCTATAGTACAGGGGGAGGAAAAACACCTCCTCCTAAGCTACCATCCTCTTTGGGATGCTACCAGAGGTTGAAACGTTCCTCAGGGTTTCTGGTGCATTGGGTGCAAACCGTGAGAGGAAATCGGCCAGGGGTGTGTTCTCTGGCAGCGAGGATGAACCTCAGCTTATCATCCTCTTTGGGATGCTACCAGAGGCTGGTACCTCATGAGAGGTTAGGAACCTCCTGACAAAAGGGCCCTCAAGGCCTTTGGTGCACTCTGTGCAGGCTGTTAGAGGGAGGCGGTCAGGGGTGGTTTCTCTGGTAGCGAGGATGACCTTCACTTTATCCTCACTGGGAGGATGCAACCTCCTAGGTTGCTTCAGCTGCCGGTGCCTTCAGGGATTTTGCACAGGGGGTCTGCTGCAACTTGGGCTGTCCCTTGCACCTGCTGAAAGAGGCTGCGGATGGCATTGGTAGGCTCGGGCTTAAACTGCGCCCCTTTGTAAAACTGCATGCCACTGAAAGTTTTTGCGAAACATTTTTAGTCTTCAAGGACAACTGTCCACCACAACCTTCGCAGACCCACAGTTGTCTGTCCCCTAGCAGTTTTAAAACATGTGTAACATGTACCCCTTCAACCGTCACTCTGCCTTGGTGTGTGCATTGGTGCGCTGCCAGTGCTTCCAAGGTTTTGCGGTTCTTTGTGTGCAGGAGTTTAAGTTGACACTGAGCACACCGGAGGTTGAGACCTTCCCATTCCCACGCGTTCTATAAACTAGTTGTGCTTGCTAGCGGTATAGCCGGAGGCTTCAAAAGGCTACGAGCTTCGCTCCACGCTTTGTTTTCTCTGGAGTGCCGGAAATCCTCACCAACATCCACTCGAGGAAACAGCTAACGATGCACACAACAGGTTGATGGGTGGGACCAAGTTACCCCACCCATGACAGACCGAAGCAACACTTTGACAACACGAGAAAAGGTAGGTGAAAAACACTAAGGTTAACACAGTTTCGCCCCGGTCATTCGCAGCATACTGCAAAGCAAGATATGGCCTGTACGGAGAAAACTGACACCAGACAGCTTTTTCAGCCGCCCATACAAGAAACATGACTGTGCAAGTGTGAACCCAGAAGCCCAGATGGGCTTGCTCCAAAAGAGATGCATACAAGTGAGACTACCTGCAATACAGGTGCTGTGCTACGGCCCGCCCCGAGAGCCCACTTTCTTGTAACGAGGTCTTGATTGTTCTTCTGGCCAGTGCCAGTGAGACAGAGAACCCCAAAAATTGGGGTGGGTGGGTGAGGAAACTTGACTTTCTCGCTAGCAAGCACCACTCTAGAGCCAAAATGACGCACGAACATAGTTTATAAAACATACATGAACAAGTACATGATACGTTCTATAAACTAGTTGTGCTTGCTAGCGGTATAGCCGGAGGCTTCAAAAGGCTACGAGCTTCGCTCCACGCTTTGTTTTCTCTGGAGTGCCGGAAATCCTCACCAACATCCACTCGAGGAAACAGCTAACGATGCACACAACAGGTTGATGGGTGGGACCAAGTTACCCCAAATTAAACTACCCAGCAACCTCGCCCCGGAGAAAACCCCAAGCTTAAGTGAGGTTGTTCGGCACTCCCCTGCTCCGCACAGACCATGGAAGGTGAGCCCCTTCGGGGAAAACCGAAATGTTTGGACGAGGCAACCAAAGGGCCTCGAGTGACAGCCGCACTCTATCCTTTTCCAGGCAGTCAGGGGGAACTTCATATTCAGCAGGACGAGACAAGGCATCAGCCTTGACATTGCGTTCCCCGGAAATGTGTGACACATCCAGCGTTGTTCTATGTACAGCTGCCAGCAAAGAAATCCTTTCCAGGAAAAAACAGAGAGGCCGAGCGGTGGAGAAGGAAGCGTTCACACCTGCCTCTGCACCTGTGTTGTCTGATGCGGAACGTAGCTGCAAGGGGATTCTGGCGCAAGGTAAAAGAGAAGATGTTGCCAAGATCAGCGCTCCCTGGGCGAGCGCTTCATAGCAAGCAATATCAAGCTGCATGTCTGCTTGCACTGGAATCTCAAGGGCCCGGAAGGCACTGTAGGAAAAGCTTTCTCGAAACCAACGCTGGCCTATCATGGGGTGAGAAACGTACCCACCAATGCAGCACATCGAGCCATGTGCACTTGCATCTGCTCTTGCCTCAAAGGATGCATTGCCTAAGGGGCGCATGCTGCAGAATGGGCACATATGCAAAAGCCAATGTTCGAACAAACCCAAAATGCGCACTGATTCGGTGCTCAACTTTCTCTTCGAACTGGACTGACTTGAGACGCGCATCCAAACCCGCCTGTCTGTAATGCGAACGCGATCCAAGTCAGCCAAAGATGACAAATCCTGATGTCGGACTGACAAAAGTGTGCTGTGGAGCGGAATTGCTGTACCTGGAGGAACCGATTTGAATTGCAGGGAATCCGTCAAGTGGTGACGAAGCTGTGGCCAAACATCTGGGGCCACCGAGTAGTTGGTAGCAGCCGGGCTGAAAAGATCATGATAGAAGGTGTACAGAAGCGACTTCATTGTCGGGAAAAGGTGTGCCGCCCAAAGAGCCAGCCCGACAAACCTCTCCAAATCCTTACGGGAAATTTTTGGATTACGCTGAAGATCTTGAACCATCCCCAAAAGTTTTAACCTTTTTTCCTCTGCAAGCGACACTACCCCGGAGGTGTAACAGAAACACCACCCTATCCATTGAACTCGAGAACTAACCTGAAGTTTCTTCCAACTCAAAGGTACCCCCAGAATCTGAAAGAAGAGGCAGATCATCGCCCCTGTTGCTGGCAAAACGGCTTCCGCCTGAGAGAATAAGTAGTCGTCCACAAACAAGTGGCCTGCATGGCTGAACCAAATCAAAATGTGCAACAACCTAAGCAGGCAGGAGCCTAAGCGCCCCCACCAATGCTGTGCAAAAACCGCCCCGAATGGGGCCACGCGATAGAAGTACAGAGAATCTGCAAAAGCGAAACCTAGGAGACCCTGCTCGGACTCCTTGACAACACACCTTTTGTGAGCACTTTTGACATCAAGAGAAATGGCAGCTTGCCGCGAGCGGGTGCCCCGAAGGGGGAAACAGTGCATCACGTCCCTAACTGATGGCATATGCTGGACTTCTGGAACACTGCAACTTGCATTCGTGCCACACACTGAATTATCTAAGACCAACCTCTCAGAACGATTGGGCGCACGGACCACGGAGAGCTTTCCTATTGCCAGTGTACCCGGCCACTTTGCCTTAGCTGCCTCAATGTCGCCATCAAACTTGAAGCAAAAACCCTGATCTAACTCCTCCTGCAGCAAGGCTTGGGTCACGGACAAATCCACTGAGGCCGAGCGCCAATTCTGCATGTGGATGGACAATGATACATCCTCAAGGTTCTCTTTTTGATTCGGCCAAAAACAATTTGACACTGGGATATCGTTGTTGTACCCCGTGGGGACGCCTTGCAACAGGGATTTGCAAAGACTCACATCTGGATCACCACAAAAACAGGCAAGTGCCTCAAGCGCATGCAGATGCAAGGGTTGATGCTCACGGACCTTCCATGTATTTGCATCTGTTGCCACACCTAAGCAGGAGAAGAAGTCTTTGCGCGCATCTTGCACCTCCGAAGCGGTGAAGAGGGGTTCAGGATTGGGCCAAGTGGCTTTAGCAAGCAGGCGTTTGGGGCCCTGCATGTCACAAACTTTCCCCAGAAGGTATGTCCGAAGATTTTTGAGCTTATCCTGGCACAATGGGGTGCTCCAATCCCCACAAGAGTGGCGACCTGCCCCATCGTGGATTACCCACGGTCCAACATCCAGGGCCTTGACAGGTACTAAAGCTGACGCGGTGGCAAGAGTGTGTTCAATCTGTGCACCTGCAAGAAGCGGCCTGATGTGCAACGCGAATTCTTCAGCCAGGCATTGGGGGTACTTAGCGGTCTTACGACTTTTGAACGAACCATCACTCTCACGTCCCTGCACGGACTCATGTGCATTGCGTCCGTGTTGACACGTCTGCCCCATCACGGACAGGGCTTGAAAGCTCGATGCAAACAGCCAAGTTTTTGCCCAGTTCTCCCCAAAAGCACAGGCCGGGAGGACAATGAGGGCTGTAGACCCACAGTGCAACCAGCCTTGAACGCACGATTCTTCCCAGGACATAGCACCTGAAGGTTGCTCCAAATGGCCATGGCCCCCGGCCCCATGGACGATTTGAAGACATTTGCACGCCCTGAAAAGCATCTCGTGACTTGTTTGTATACGAGCCTGGGCTGATGGGGATAGGTTCTCCAGGCCCCCTAGCTGGGTTGGTGTGCGGATGGCAAAGGGCGGACCTCCAAAGAGTTTCAGGCGGGAGTATTCCGAACAGCAAGGGGATGCCGCACAATACCCCACAACACCTGAGCCACAGATGAACAAGAGCTGCTCGAAAAAGGTATTATCGAGAATGTCCATGCTGCTATCCAACAGGATATCAACTGCAAGTGTTGGGAAGCCTAACTCCTGCACCGCTGAAGATAGAGGCTTCTCTGCGCCCGAACAAATGTCCAGGAAGATCCTTGAAGACTGCTGTAGCGCTGACTGAACTATGGCAGGCGAGGATAGTGGTGGGCGAGGTATTTGGGGCTGCAAGATCAAGCGGTGGTGAGCAAACCCCTTTGGAGAAGGCTTTCCCCAATTAACCTCCAAGCTAGGGACTGCCTGCTGAGAAGGGGGGCAGGGTTCGGGTGTAGTAACCGGAGCTGGGGGCTTGGTTCGTGGCTGGGGCCAAGGGAATCCCAAACCCTTAAGTGTATCACCTGACACGCCTGGGAGGGTAAAGGCAGTCAGCACCCATCGATCGCCAAGCCACGGTTGGGCGCAGTGCCAAAGGTGCACGGGGAACTTAAACGGCGCATGATGCGTTGTGACGATCTTGCCCGGGAGAGTCACCCCAAGCTTGGGGATGAACTGCGGTACCGTGCCTGCTTGGTCCTCGACCCAAAGGCCTCCATCCGAGTACGAACCTATCCCCACTGTCAAATTTGACGACCCCGGCAAATTTGCTGTGTCCTTGTGCGGGGACGTCAAAATGTTCCTGCTGACACACAAGGCATTCCAAGTCTCACCTGGGAACAGTTGGCACAAGAACCCATTAAGGCTTGCACACAGTTGTGGGAGTGCATCCGTAACTGATGAACGGGCCGAAGGATTCCCTAGGCGCACCCCAAAGTTCCAGTATCCCGATTCCCCCGGAGCCGCTGAAGTAACGCTCCTGGCAGGAAGCACGCGTGGAGGCCAAGAGGCAGAAAGTAATGCCTGAAGACAGGACTTAAAGTCATGTATGCATGAGGAACCTTCTTCTGCAACATGTGTAACACCCACCTGCCCGGGTGTTACCTCATTCCTGGAACGACCAGGCATGTTGCACGTGACATCACCCAACACGGGTTGTGAAGGGATGTTGCCCTGAGGACATTGCACTGCTGGCGACGACACAGGCCCAGCATTTGTCTCCAACAAGGAGACCGATTTCGGAAGCACATTTACAGGCTCGGCTGGCCGAGCTGCCGGCTGGATATCATACCCAGCAACACGATTTGCACCTGCCTGGTGCTTTGCTGAAAGAGGCTGTTGAGGTGATACTGACATACAAGGCGACAAAGGGTGTGACTGAACTGGCTCAGTGTGAGATTGCAAAGGATGCGGGGCATCTGGGGGTGATACCTCTGTAGACTGCAAATCTGAATTCGGGATTCTTTGCCACGGCACAAGGGTAGGTTCGAATCAGTGAGGCGTCTGTTCATGCTGAGAGGCTGTGTGCGACTTGCTCCCACACGCTGATCCATCCTGCTTGGGGTATGCACATGCATGAACAAAGGGGCAGGAGCCTCCCCTTGTGCAGCGGCCAATCTGCCACTGGACACACAGCCCTTTCTTCTCAGATCCCACCTGGATCTCTTTCACGAAGGTGATGTGTCTCCCTGGAGCGCCCTTGGGCTTACCGCCCTTTTCCTTGCCCCGGCCCTGGCCCTTGCCGAGGCCTTTCCATTGGCCGACCTGCTTCCCCTTGCCTTTGAGATCGGGGCCGCGGGGGATGAACAAGGCTTTCGGACGAGCCTGCAGCAAGGTGCTAAGCTCACCTCTGATTTCAGTGAACTCATGCAACGCGTCATTCAAGCTCCAAGCTTTCTCACTGACTAAAGAATGGATGCTCTGCCAAATCCGACAATCTGCCTGTTGCGCTTCTAGGATTGTCGGTGCACGCAGGCCTGATGTTGGGTCGAAACGCTGGGACACAAGCTGGACAAACTTGCAGCTGTAGGCTTTAAGGCGGGCAAGGTGAGCTGAGCCAACCATGGCCAACGCAACGTCATGCACTGCCAAGATTCGCTGGATGCCACTGATCCCCATATTGGCATCGGTCACTTCGATTGTAGGCGGATCATCAAGGAGCAAGCTGGAAAGACCCAGCATTTCGAGCTTGGGCTGTTTGTGGGGTCTGGCAATTAACAACTCCGAAGCTTTCTCTTCCGTCATGCGATGTTTCCAAGCTATCCATTTATACTCCGAACGTGCCTCTTGATGAGCTGCGAGGGAAATCAGCCTCAAAGAGGGTAGAGTAGATGGATTCAAGACCTCACTTGGGTAATTTGCAAGGAATTGGCGCTTCATGTCGGACAGCTTCGTGGATGCAATTTTGGGAGCAAAACTCTCTACCCATGTCTCCAAAGTAGGATCTGCGTTGACAGGGGCCGGTAGAGCACTAGAGGAACTGGATGTTTGCATGCCCGCCCACGCTGCTTTGATCTGGGCTATCTGCAACCGAGACAAAATCTGACCTGGGAAGATCTCGGGGATGGCTCCCTCAACTTCTGCCTGAGTTTCAACAACGTGTTTGAACGCCGAGGCTGTCCAGCCCCCTTCCGTGGCCACTTTGATGACCTCTGCTGCCAAGCCTTCCTTCGCCAGTGCACTCTCCAACTCGGAATCAGCCATTACATGCAAGACACCGCAGGGCTAATGTTGGTGTTTAGCGCTAGACCAATATGTGATTCTTAGATAGGATGACAGAGCTTTGTTCTCGTGAGCTAGATGAGCATGCTAAGCAACGAATCTGACATGTACGAAACTTCCAGGGCGTCTTCTGAATACCACGTGAAACTCTTGCAAGACGCCACACTCCTAAAGATCTTTCCTTGGGGATTTGCTAGCCCAATCGAGCGCCTGCCTGCAGAAACACCAAAAGCATGTCAAGATCATAGCAACAATCTAACCCTTGGTGGACATGTGCAACATGACAGCCTGCTGTTTCATTGATGCATACGCAAAACAACAACCACACTTTTCTGACACGAACATTCCAGCTCACTCCTCGGAACAACAAGATAAAGCTGCCAAGCATGCACTGCGTCTGCACAACCGACACGAAGATGGCACTGACGTGTGGATCATGAGCCGATCGGCCGGAAGAGTGGCACCACACTTTGCACGCATATATGTCCCATTGACAAGAGTGCCTGACAAAGCATCTGAAGGGCAGAGCACATGCAACACCGCGGTGCAGGAGCCCAGCAAGAATTCCTCAGGCTCACCTAAGTCGTGCTCTTCGGCCGGGGGTGCCGAAGGTTCCTCCTCGCTCTCATCTGAAGATCCTGGGTCGGAGTGGTACACGAGATCTTTGTCCAGCGCCTCTATATCTGGATCAGGGGTGACTATTTGATTTTCTGCGACCTCCCAACTCCCATTACTGCTTTGAAGCAAATCGTCACTGCCATCAAGTTGAAACGAGAACCACTGGAAGGGTTCAAACTCGTAGTCCTTAGAGAAAGCTTCCGGCGGGATGTACGCTGGTGTCAAGGGCTGCTGCCCTCCTCTGTGCTGGGGGACCAAAAATCGGAAGCCTGTGCGGATGCTATCACGAATGCAAGATTGGCACCGAAGCATGCCATGAACATCATCACGGGAATAAAGAGCGGAGCTGCTTATGCGGTGGTGCCCTTGACGTTTCCTATCAACCTCATCAACATTGACTTGAAGGGACATGGAAAGCATAGTGGCTTTGAGACTGTGCACTGTGAAATTGAGGGGCGGTACCTCTGGTGGTGCGGACGCCCAAGGCATGAGGAGAAAATGCCTCAACCACCTCAGCGCCTCAGCATAGCTCATAGCTTGCAGGGGCAACATGAAGCTGTCGCCTTGCACTGCTGGAAGCAAGAACGATGGAAGCCACGAATCTGGGTGGTTTCGAACATGCATTGTAGCCAGCCTGTCAAGGGCATGCAGGTATTTGCTAACCCAAGAATGCGTCCCGCGAGACAGAATACCTGACGCAAGGATGCCCCAGGGCTGCCCGGTGTGACATGTTTTGGTCGCATAACACGTACCACGAAGGACATGTAAGTCAAAAGATAATGAACTCCACTCCACACGTTGAAGATCTGCAAATCGCAATGAACCCCAGGCAGCAACCAAAAAACCACCAAGCACAACCACTTCAAGGAATGATGCCTGCTTCATCAAGATGCGCCTTTCCCACAGCTGGAGCACCCAAGTGGGTAGTGGGAAACTCTCACGGCGTTCACGAGGAATTTTTGACTTCAGAAAAGAATCAATCACTTTTTCATACGCGCACGATAAGATTGTACATTCTGCAACTTTGCATAGCCAACGAAGTGCTTTGATTGTCATGCAACAGCTTGAACCCAGAGTAGGGTCTCCATGCTTCTCAAGGGACATGGTGACTAGTATGTCTGCCATCATAACACTATCAAGATTGCCAAAACAGAGGCCTAGCCCTTCAAGATTCGCCACAAAGTGTGACCAAGCTGCCAGGTAACGGAGCACCGTGTTCGTGGCATACCCGGAAAGAATTCGCGAGGTGTGATGACTGGCAAATTCGGAGCACTGAATCTGCTTGAACAATCCACTACAATCACCCATAAAAACAAGCACACCCCAAAACAGTGACAAGGCCATCTGGGAGAAACCTGCAATCTGCTGGAACTTGGGATGGTGGGGATCGGCCGCCTTTGCTGGCTTTCGCTTCGGGGCAGCTTTCAAGAGAAACGATGAAGTACTTTGCTGCTGTTGGTTGGATTCTGCGAAGGACTGCCGAAACCTGGCAAAGTGTCTGGCTGATTCTTCTTCAGCATCGGAATCACAATTGCTCCTGCTAGATGCTGCAACAGGAACGGGCAGAGGTTGCCCGGCACGTGGAACTGGCTCAATGCGTCGTCCCTGGGAGTACAAAGGTTGGGCAAGACCTGCCGCCGGCAGAGGGGGAGCGGTTCCTTTAGGTTTGTCAACTGGTAGCGCAAGCCCCCCCAGGGGCGGTGGTGCACACTTGCTCTTTGCTTTACTGAAATGCTTATCATCAGGATCCGTCGGGCGTTTCATCCTACAACCCTCTAGTCTTCAATCAAGCTTTGCCAAAAACCTGGAGGCCTTGGGAAGCTGGTCTGAACTGCACGCACAAGAAAGCTGAAGCAACTCTCAAGGTGCAAGAGCCGAACCGAAAGGCAGCCGATGCTAGTGGTGCCAGTATGGCCGCGCAGATCCCGACGGACCCTCTGATCTTCCTGCTCAATACGATGCACACGCTCTTCTAAGACTGCAATGTGTGGATGAAGGGCTTCCAACTGGCTCTGCAACTCTCGAACTCGAAGCTGCAATTGCTCTGCAGAGGCGTCAAGCCCAGCACTCGATACTTCCATGCACTCACTTTGGAGTGAGCCCGCTCCCCCCGGAGAGTTATGCACAAAGACGACCATGCTGAATGCCAAGGTTGTACAAAAATAGACAAAGCACTTTGAGAAAACATGGATAAGAAGACTTTCCATGAAGAACGCATGCCAAAACTTGACTTTCTCGCTAGCAAGCACCACTCTAGAGCCAAAATGACGCACGAACATAGTTTATAAAACATACATGAACAAGTACATGATACATGCACAGGTTTGGTCCGGACCAGCTCCTGGAACCATTCCTGTTGGGTGGTGATGTGGCCTCTCCCTATGTTGGAGCCAATGCGCTTTTTGCAGGGCCTGGAGGTGGCCTCGTTGCTCTTGCGAGCCTGCTTTTCCTGCAGGAAGACCTTATACACTGGGTGCTGATTTTCCCCAATGGCAGTAAGGATCTTTTCCGCCCTGCTCGCCAGGAATGCTTGTGCTTTTTTGCTGCAATGGTCCTGGTACTGACTGGCTGCCCGGACATCAGGGTGGGCCAGCTCGGCCGCTTTTTCCCCACACAGCTTGTCCGCCAGGTCATTGACCTGCTGTCTCCACGAGTTTTCCGCACCCACCTTCCGGAGGAACTCCTCCTCTGAAACATGGGATGGAACCCATTTCATTTTGAGGCGGTTGACATCCGTGGTTTGCAGCTCCCACCAGATATCACCGTGGGTCTTGCCCGGCTTTGGGCTGCGGACTCGTTTCGGGACACCAAGGCAGTCTAGTGTCGTGTCAACAGGGCCTTCGGTATAACGGGCCAGCTGCAAAACGGCATACAGTTCCCCCCGAAAAACCGTCTGTGGTCCAGGGACTTGGCCAACTATTGCTCCTACCTGGACATACTTAGGGCCTTGCCTTTTGCAGGCTACTACTGCATAAGCTACCCGCCGGAGTCTCGGGTCCGCCGTATAGGGCCCCCCGCTAGCATCAGTGCCATACACAAGCTCCGGGTCATTGAGGGCCTCTTTGTTTGCCCATATACCCAGAAAGATGGGATTGTCCTCCTGTGGAGGCTGTACCTCCCATTTGAGTTTGGGCGGGAGGCCCCTGGTCCACAGTGATCTCGGGCTGGGCCCTGCCTTCTTGGAACCATGTTGGCAACTCCCAGTTTTGGGCCTTCCACCAGGCACAATCCAGGAGGACATGCTCCCAATCTGCTTCCTCGTGGCATCGGGGGCACACTTTGACAGCAGAGTTTTGGCTGCAAACTAAGGCACCCTGCCAGACGCACCTCAGGGCAGCTGCTTTCGTGGTTCGACCTTCTTTCTTGAACTCCCCCAGCAATTTCCTCCCTACCGTCCAGTCGACTCCCTCCTGTAGCTCAGGGGCAGCAAGACCAGTGGCGATGCGGTGGTTCACCTCCTTCTGGTAGGTTTGCTGGAGGAGGTCTAAGACACGACACTCCTGCTGTGGGGTGTGTATGGTGTGCTTGGTGCCGTGGGTGTCTAACCATTCATCACTGCCTCTAGGCTGCCAACCCATGTCAAGCAGGTACGCAACCGTGGCTGCCAAAGGCCCCCTGACCATTTGCCACCTGCTGCTGGCCTCTTCCAGCCTTTGAACGGTGAGGCCCCATGTTCTCTCCAGCAGCTCTTCCTTTCCTACCCAGCGCTTCTTAAGCTGGAACCAGGCCTCAACTTGCTGGACCATCATGGTGCGACCCGGATCCTGGTACCTGTCTCCTACAGAGGACAGAGTCACCTCTAGGTTGCCCATTTTCTGTCTGCCACACTGTTCAGCCAAGGCAATCCGGAGCTTCTGTCTCCGGGTGGGTGGCATTCCCTGGGCTTGGTGACCCCAAGTAAGACGGAGGCAACCCCTCCCCTGAAGAGGCGGACCTTGGCCGGCACACTCGGGACTCTCAGTTGTTTCAACTTCTTCTGTCGTTTGCCCGCTTTGTGCCTTCGGGCTCTTTGCACCTTGACCCTCCGGACCCGACCCAGGGCACAGTCCAGGCCTAAATCCTTCATGCTATCACAGATAGCCGGGTCCCCATCTTTGCGCAGCTTCTGTAGCTCCCTTCTGGCTTCTGCAGTGGTGCACAGGAAGCCTGTTTTCTTGAGGGACAGACGGAGGTCGCTACCTTCCAGAAGCCGGCGAAGGGTTTTGTAACCTTCATAGACCGCAAACGCTGCCTGCTCAGGATGTCGTGCTTCGAAATCCGCTCCAATGTCATCCACCCAGGTGTCTAAGGCGGTGATACTGCGGAGCTGAGCGGCTTCTTGCATTATTGGCTGGAGGTAAACCCTGGCCATCATTGTTGCGAAC